AATCAGAGTTCATCTTAGGAAAATACTCACATACATATACGCTTTAAAATATAACATTTTAAAAATGTAAAAAGTGACAGTATATACCTGTTTTTTAAACATACATTAAAACCAAAAACTGCACTAAACCAAATCTATTCATTTAGGCTCTTTTTCCAATTGAAAGGATAAACGTCCAGTTTGATATGTTTTGCATTCTTTAGATTGCATGACTTTCATCAGATCTCTATGAAAGAAAATGATGCCTACGGGGTGATGCTGCCACCACCGTGTTTCCTGCTATATCAAGGATGGTTAGGTTTACGCAGAGCTTGAGTTTTCCTGCACACGTTTCACATCCAAGCATAAACTAGACTAGAGCACCTTCTTCTGTTTGCTGTTAAACCTTTTCCTGTATAACTGGTCAACTTGCAATTCCCTGCTAAAGAAGAAAGGAACCTCATTAACAACTCTCCCTGTGGGGTTACTATCTCCAGAATACGGTTTGTGTTTATTATCTCAAAGGATGAATAAGAATCCATAATTTAAGGCACATTGATAAAAGGTCAGCAAAAACAGATGTTTGTAGCATCTACCGGAACACTAACCTCAGCAATTGCAGCTCTATCCCATCACAAAAGCACTAACCCAGGCACAGATTCAATTCTAGGCCAGTGCTACATTTGGAAACTTTTTGTGCAAAAAAATCCATTACGTAGTCAAAGGTTTTATGTGCTTTGAAAAGATGAAGTGATTACTTTCTGGTCTGAACTGATGCATAGCAACATGCATTTCACTAGAGGGCAGCATCTGATCCTTAGTTACAAAAAGCATCACTTATGTTTTCTCTTAAAAATGAAGAAATCCCTGTTAAATAACTATTTTTAAGGATTTCTGGTTTAACTGCAGGTTTGTTCAATAAAAAAATTCCAAACAGAGTAAAAAAAGAAATATATATTTAGCTTTACCCTTGTTGTTGCAGGCAATCCATTTAACATTTTCAGCAAATGTCATCTCCCGGCCAATTAGATAAGTGAACACTCGAACCTGCAAAAAAGAAAAAAGCAACACTTAAGCTCTGGAAACCCAAACACATTTAGTAATAAAATCTTAGTGACAATATATTTCATACCCGTCTCTCTGGCCAGTTAAACTCCTCAAAAACATCCTTGAAATCCTCCATTGCTCCGTCTGTTATCAGCATGATGGCCTGGTTGCACAGACTGCCCTGCCCCTGTGCAGCAGCCTGAACACATGCATCCACAAACATGTCTAAAAATAACTAAGCATTTCAAAATGCACTTCAAAGCATTTATACAGCAAAGCTTGAAACTTGTTCTAAAATTCCAGCAACTGCAGTAATAAAACTTGTTAAAACATTTAGCTAATGTCACAAAGCAGAGGGACAAACCTCGTTAAGGACCTTGAAAGACTCCTTCATTGCATTCTTAACCTTGCCCTCCCCTTTGACTTGTAACTCATCCACCAAAAACTTGAAGTGCTGTAAAAAAGTAAAGATAAATACATTGCTTTTTTTAAAAACTGGATTGTGGATTTTAGGGCAAAGGAAACATAAGGGGGAACTGTGCAGTGAAGGGGTTAACCCTGGTTCCTTGGCATGCTGACCAAGGAAAGCAAAGCTACTACAGCACCTGGAGGTCATCAGGATTAATTAACAAATTCACTCAGGCTATCACACTTACAGCAAGTAGTGCTTCCATATTTGATATTTTACAGCAAAAAAAATCCACGTATGAGCAAAACATTAAGTTAACAATGTAGCTATTTTCACCCTAATTGGAGAGCTGACATTTACCACATGTATTTTGTTAAATCAGAAAAAATGCAAACCTTTTTCACATGTATCTTTTTTAAGTAAAAACACATTAAAAACACATTATGTTATTTTACAAAACTTTAATTTCTTCTGTATTGTCGGAGTGTTATTTATTTTTTTTTTTTTACCAACAAATAGTCCTACTGTTTGTTTCTGGCTCAAAGGATACTGATGTTTTCAAATTAGAATTTTAAAACCTTTTGAGTACCGGTACATTAACCTTGCGCTGCAAGCTGGACTGTCCTGTGATCTGAGTTGTCAGTCTCACAACAAATCCATAACATACTGTAAGGCTCAGTTTTACACGTATCAAATTGGCTACTGCCAGGTTAGGAGTACACCCTTCATTCAAAAACCAATGAATAGAATCCAAGGAAACCAATTACCCCAAAGAGCATGAGGAGTTTACCAAAGCTCCTAGAGAGCATTAATCAGCATAGCAGCAAAGAAATTGGGAGGAGCTTTAGAGATTTACAGCTCAGTTTCTGAGACATTTACTACTATGACCATTAGCAAAAAAACACTATATTAGTTTGCCTTAAGAAACAGGTGGTCAGAGATCTAACTTTTTTGGCTGCATGCAAAAAACTTTCTGTTTTAAAAAAGACGTCAACAATATATTGATGTAGGAATTATTTTCTGATGCAGTGTCAAAAAATGTGATCAGAAATTATTTGAAGACGGATGAAACTAAAGCTACAGGTTAATCTGGCAGTAGTCAAACACTTAAGTACAGTACTTTTAAGAATCTGTAACAAGCCTTGAAAACTGACGTTTACAAAAACCTTTCATTCACTGTATATAGCTTTTAGCTTTACTTCAACTTCACAGTTAAATGTTACTCTTTTTTGACAATTTAATTATTGGTGTCGAACAAATTTGCCAGCAATGCTGTGAAAGAACAAGGAAAACAGAAAAATATCACATCTACAGTAGTTAATGCATTGTTGTTAACCATTAAAAGTCACATTTGATGGATAGTAGGACTTTACTGTATGCAAAAAATTTATTTATAGATAGAATAGAAACAAACATTTAAAAAAAAAAGAGTAATCTGTTTAAAAACCCTGGTAACTTGCTGGAAGAATTGGCAAAAGTCAATAATATATTTCAGATGCATAATTCAAGAAAACAAAACTATATGTTTTTTAGAAATAAGGAATTACCTTACATTTGTGCCCTTGTTGCAGCTTTGGTTTTTTGCTTCCTTTCTTTATTAGGACGTGTGTTTTCTAAATTTAACATACAGGTCTCCATTTCACAAAGCATAGTCAGTTGCAATACAGTGTAGGTTCTAGGGTTCCTGTATATTCTGGATTTTCTGCTTCTGAAAGCTAGAAAGCCGTTACCTTAAGGTATGACAACAAATATGAAAGTTGCTCTGTAGTGAGGATGTTTAAAATAACCCTGCATTATTCCAGCTTCTAAAGTAATGGAAATAGTTGATCTTTTTCTAGAAGAACCTGTTGAGGTCACAGCACAAATACTCCAAAGATATCTGACCGCAGTTAGATTTCCTGGAGGAATTTGTTTTTAAATTTGGCACAAAAATAAATAAATATGCCAGCATTTTAATAAGAAGATAGACCCATTATATTGTTTAGGGGGTCATTATTTGCATATGCTGAATAGCCAATTAATTCTTTAATTGGTTAAGTTTACTCATAACAATTTAGAATTGGTGATTTAAATGTATGTTATTTATACTTCGTCCTCACTTGTTGCAATGTCATTTTGTGCCTCTTCTGTTTTCCCCATTATTAAAAAATAACAAAAAACTTTTGTATTCACTCAAAGAGTATTAGTCTTAAAATAATAAAAAATGAATAATATTTAGAGTCATTTTAGCAACCAGCCTTAACACCTTTGATCACCTCCATGACAAGTTTTATAATTGAAGAAATTCATGCAAAAGGAGCCCTGACCAAGCTAAACACTCATTCTGTACCAGACATAAAGATACTGTCCAATGTAATATTGATGTTTCCCCCCCCTTTTTTTTGGCCCAATGGCTTTTGTGAAAGTGAACTGTTTAGAAAAAGTGACATGGGGGGATAAAACATGCAGCAAAGGTCCGTCCAGGTTGGAACTCAAAGCTGTGACAGCTTTGTTTAGAACTAAGGCTCAGCCGGAATACCTAAAATCGGTTAGGACACTTAAGCCACGACGGAAGTGTGTCAGTTGTCACCGTGATAAGGGCTATCAGAGTAGTGCTGGCAGTTAGGGAGGAGCTATGCAGAGGAAGCAGTGTGCAGTATTCCCAGCGCAAATTCAGTTAGCATAAGACCACCTGACATGCCTAGCTGCTACTAGGAGCTATACAGCTCACCACAATCCTTTGCATGATAGGAGTAAAGGCCCACCTCATAGAGTTTGACAATATTACATTATTTTTCAACCACACTGTGTGAGACATATGCAAATGTCCTTGCCTTTAGATGTTTTGTATTTCATTAAATTATTTTTTAGCTTTTTAGGGCACTAGTGGCTTGTTTTGAAACCCTGGTCTGCCACAGGACTAAGGCCTCCGTATATGGGTTGTTCACGCTGACTACTGCTCCACAGAATCACGGCAGATGTTTTGTATTGTATAACAGAGAGCTTCAGCTGTTCTTTACATTTGTGTAACTTGTGTTTTTTCTCAGTTCTTTGCAGGAAGACTGTAGTTTTACCTTGACCGTCATCACTCTTGATGACGTGCATCAAGGCGCTTCAAAAGATCCTGCATTGCATCTTGAGCAGCAGAAGCAGTGCTTCATGAGCTTCTGTGTATCTAACACGCTTCACAGGCAGCAGAAGCTGTAGTTGGAAAAATTGAACTTTTGCTGCCCGACGCGCCACATCAACCAATCAGAGAAGCTGATCAGGGAGCTGGCAGGGAGACGGACACAGCGCTGCTGATGCAGAGAGCTATGATCACTGCCCTTAAACTGTTTATTAATGGCGACATTAATTTAGGATGTCCAAACTCGCTTAAAAATATGTTAAAAGTACTTTTTCCCCACAGATTAAAGCAAATATAGCAAAGCCGCTCTCTGTCATTGAACACTGGAGCAGCAGAAGCACCAGACGTATCTGTACACACTTCACTGGACGCGCTTCAGGAGCATCTTTGAAGCTCTTGATCTAAATGTGGACAAGCATCAAAGATGAAGCAGCAGGCACTTTTTTTGCTGCTGAAATTGCGTATGTTGTGAACGTAGCATAAAGCTAAGGGCTTTCCAAATCCATTGGAGTTCGGAGTTCCTTTCCTATGCTCGATATGTTCTTATTGTTGACCACGTTAAAGGTGAAGGGATAGGAGCTAGTAACAGGAGATCGGGGTTACAATTAATGGTATTTGGGATCCTAAGACTACATAGGTTTCACCTTTGACCCCTGCGACACCATCATAGAGGTCTTTTGTTAGATTCTCATTTTTACAGAAACTAACTTTTTGGTTAAATTAATAGAAATTAAGGTTAAAAATGTTTCATTGTGAGGAATCGATACGATTCTCATTTTGAAGTGAAATACTGAAATGAGTTACCGTAACTTCTTTGAAGGATCCTGCCCACCTAAGCTTTGGTTCTATGGGTGACCTCTCTAACCCCCCGAGGAATTTTCAGGTATACTATAGGAATATGGGTCACAAAGAAGCTTTTAAGGTCTATTCACTCGTTGTATAAATGTAAAATGATAAGCTCAAACTCTAGCCACAGCCAAGAGTCACAGAACATCTTTGTGAACACCATGAATAGAAGTCAATGTGTAGACTTTGAGAAAAAAAACTCTGAAATGTATCTTTGATTTTTGTCAATACTGTGGTTGTTTGCGCTTCTTCAGGCCTTGATCCCCTGGGTGCACTGGAGCAGTCTGAGTGGCAAATGGCCCGGATGAGAGTAAGTCGAAGCGCCTGCCCCGCTCCCCTGAAATTACTTTCCTTTAGAGGTTGGCTGTTAAATTGTAACAAGCTCATGCATGTGTGGGGAGCTCAAAGCTGCTTTGCAAATGGAAAGAGGTGAGGTGAGGCACTCAAGCATCTGACCACGATGTACCCTAGCACTTCCCTTTGGAGGTTTTCCAGGAGCATCCTGCTGTAAAGAGACCAAAGGTATACCCTATATACAGTATATATCATCTGTCCTGGGAATGCTTCAGAATCCCCATGAAAATGGGCAAGGAGGAAGGTGTGTGAGGTTCCGTTCTGGACCTGTTGCTCCCATAGCAGTCTTGGTTAAGATGCAGGTAATGGATGAAATTAACCTCCTCCACTTTTAATTTACTGAGCGCTATTTAGATCATAATAACCTGCTGCCACTGAACTGCAAGCTAAAGTGCCCCCTAAGACCTTGACTGTGCACTTTAACTGAATGTTTTACAGTCGTGTGAACCTCTGTCATCTGAGGATAAGCAGGATTGGTTCAGCAGAGTCTAATTGTATTAATTAGCTGTGAGCCAGCACGCCTATTTTTTTCCCCCCTTTTCTTTTGTGTGTGTGAGTTACCTCTATTATCCAGATCAGCTTGTACCAGAATGCCCTTGAAACAAGGTTCCACATAGCGAACATAGTCACTGTACTGGAGAGAAAACCCACAGAATGAGACAAATGAGCAAAAATTCAGCCATATAGAAAGGCAGCCAGAATGAAAAAAAAAAAAAAAATAGATTTAAAGCCTTTTTTATTTTATCTAAACTTTAATGAAATAATAATATAATCACTCATACAGGCCATTTTAAATAACAGTTTAAAGTGGAAAGAAATGTTTATAAATATCATCCGGAGTGTAAATCTCATGATTACATCCCTACATGTTTATACTTACAGCAATGATGTTAACAAAGTCATTTTCTCCCAGAGTATCTAGGATTGTATTAATTGTGTGCTTGGCTATCGTCAGTCTCAGACCCTTCATGCTGCCACTGACATCCACCACAATGATCACGTCTTTAGGAGAAGTGGCTGCCTGTATGTACCTAAAAACACAGATAAGGATAAAGATGACATCTACAAGGAGGTTGACAAAAAGAGCAAGCATTATCCTTTTATTTGTTCCTCCAGTCTTCCGTTCCTGTGTACCGTCATCCCTTTATTATCATCCCCCGTCTTTCTAAGCCAATTATGCACAAATGAGATTTCCACTGTAGCAGCTGTGATTGGAAGCAGTTCAAACCAGTTAGCTCCGTGATTTCCGCTCTTCAGTACAATGTTCTGTCTCTCCAAGAACAAGGAACAGTTCCTGGAACTTCATAAGCTTTTCCATGCAACTTTGAAGAACAGCGAAAGGCTGTGCCGTTTCTACAGTCTTACTTGCGGGAATTAAAGTTACATAATTATTAACTTATGTATTTGCCTTAATTGATTTTCAAAAATCTAAGGATTTTTTTGGAAGCATTTATTCTTAAAAGAAGACGAGCATGAATTGCATTTGAGGTTTTATCCCCACGGATTAAAACCATCTATTTACTGCGTTCTGCATCCGGCTTTTATCTGAAAGACAACCACAAAGCTTCCCTATGCTGCAGCCGTCCTTTGTGACAGGGAGGATGTGCAGAATTTCTTCTCCATCATATACAGCGTTTTTCAAGGCCTTTCCAGGGCAGCAGATAAAACACATCTGAGGAAATTATTTGCACTTTAATTAAAGAATATCAGACTAATGAAGGCAACTTTTTTTTTTCCTTTTTATTCTATGATAACTAAACATCCTCCTTCCCTCTGCTTCCTTCAACTACTGCTGTAAAGATACTAGATCGCATAAAGATACTATTTGGTTTGTAATATGGCTTTATATAATAACATCAAAAACTGTGTAATTTTGAAAATTGCAGGGAAAAGTTTTTTTTTATTCAGCTCTGTCACATTTCTCATGGGTGAAAACAGCTATTTAGCTGGTTCCATTTTATTTACAAAACAGAGCAATGCCTGCAAACACTATTTGTTTTTAAAATTCCAAACAAACATCTGATATATGGAAATGGGCAGTAGTTAAAAACAGATTTCTTTTTTGCTTTACTGAGAAAATATAATAAAAATAATTGAACTTTATTGATTTCACATTGGAGAAATTTATCTCTGCATTTAACCCTTTCCCTTGGGGAGCAGTGGGCTGCCATCGTGGGGCGCCCAGGGAGTGGTGTGGGGTTAAGGGTCTTGCTCAGAGACCCAGATTGGAACTAAGAACCTCAAGATTCCAAGCTCTATGCTCTAACCACAAGGACGCCACTCCCACATATGATGCATCAATGAAGAAAAATACTTTTTGGGTGAATAATGTTGGTAGGAATGTCATTTTACCAGTTTCGGTTTCGGCAGTCAAAGGTCACCACACCATTTTCATCTGGAATCCACTGGATTCCTAGAAGAAGAAGACAAACAGAACCAAGGGTTTTTGAGAGTCAACAAACAGACACATTTTACTGCAGCTATATTCCATCTAAAACCAAATCACTGTGCAGTTTCTTACCACATGTACTGGCAACCAAGTAAAACTAATTATCTGTAGGATTTAGACCTAATGATTGAGGTAGCCATGCACTGTGTCTGGTGAAACATATCTGATGTTTTGGCCACATATTTGGGATCATTGTCCACTAGTTAAACTAAACATAACCAAAGTAAACAACTAAAGATGGGTTTAAAACGCCTGTACTCAGTTTAAAAATGTAACCAGCAATGCATTTGAAGCACTAAAATTTATCTGCAGCTACACCCGCTTTCTTAACAGCATAATAGATGAAAAAATAACAGCTGGATCTTAAATCTGAAATCATCACTGCAAAACGATCTGGAAATAGGTCATTTCTTAAATTAGGTGTATTTAGCCTTTATTTTGGCAGGTAATTAAGATTATCTGAAAATGGGTTTAGTATTTTTACTCTTAAAATAAGATAATTAGATAATATGCACTTGAAATAAGAAAATGCAATTATTTTATCTTATTTTAAATGTAACTTGTCTTGTTCCATTGCCAAAGTGCCTCGCAGGATGCAAACAAGCTACTCAGTATACCTGGATAAAGCCTGAAAAACCCAGTGGCACTGCCAAAGTACTGCCAGGTGAGAGTTGGATCCTTCTGAAAGTTATCAATGAAAACATCGTTTAGTGCCTCAGACATGTAGACCCCATTAAGAATGTCAGGATCTGTAAACAAATAAAAAGAAACAGAGTTTAGTTTCTTAGGAAATGTAATGCTGTGCAATGAAGCGTTGAATCTGTTTTTACCTCTATTGTAAACATTTGTTGGGACTTGTATATTACTCTGCTGTGTGTTGACTGAAAGTTTATTGTAATGTTCATTTTCCTCCAAGAGAAATTCTCCTCCAAGCGGTATCGGATTTCCTTCTTCATCCACAGTGTTGATCAGCAGGGAGTTAAAGTAGTCAAACTGGAAACATCAACCAAACAATCATTACCAGGCAAGGACCGTGGGGGATTAAAACTCTTAAATGACATTTTTATATACAGTATGTGTGAGACAGACAGACGTGAGCATGAATTAAATTTAGAAAAATTATAGAATTCTTCTGTTTAGATAAATAATACTGCACACAGACAGATATATCTCATGCATCATTTTAATAAATGTTGATGACAGCACCTTTTTGCTAATAAAAACCTAAATTCCTATTTGTTATATGATAAGAGTCACACCAAGAAATGCTTTAGTTGGTTCTGGTTCTTGTGCACTTTTTTAGAATACGTTTTGCATCAACTCAACACTGATGAATAAACTGTCTTGAACCCTCCTGATCAATCTTTACTATGACTGCATAGGCCATAAGCCATCAAAAATAGCAGAGGAAATTGAAAATGACATCTATACATTTTAGGAATCTAAAAATATAAGAGTTGCCTTTTAGAAAGAAAACAAAATGTGCAAAAAGAGGCACTTCTGCCAGGAAAAAATCTTTAAACTTTAGATAACCTCAAGGGTTGGTAAAGTGTTGCATATAGAGCTAAATATGAGAAGAATATTTTACTGTCCATCTGAAACAATGTTTGTGCCAAAAAAAAAAAAATCCTACATACCTCTAGTGTTTCATTGTACTCGTGGCCAAGATCAGCATCCTCTGCTGCTTCTGCTAATCTCTGTGGCATAATACAACTTCTTAATAACAAAGTCAAAGCTGTGATCATATTACAGAGGCTCTTGTGAATAATAAAGCAACAGACTGATGCAGGAAAAATACAGTCTGTTCTTTAAGATGTCATTATTACCTTAACTGATTTCATTTTCCTCCCAAGCATCTCCTCCATTTCCTCTGCAAACTTCTTTACCAGCTCTTCACCGTTCACCTCCTCCATCTTCACCATGCCCTCCACATCCTTGTATTTCTGTAAAACACATGGTTTCATTAAATAAGACATTTGGTGATGAAGGCTGAACTTAAGCAGATTTATTTAGGTCTTACACCCAATAAAAGCATTTTTCTCAGCTTATTATTGTCATTACACTGTCACAAGGAGAGAGCAATGAAATTCACTCTCTGCATTTAACCCATCCCCCTTGGGGAGCAGTGGGCTGCCATCGTGGGCCGCCCGGGGAGCGTTGTGGGATTTAAGGGTCTTTGCTCAGAGGCCCAGAGTGGCAGCCTGTGGGAGTGGGGCTCTCACTCCGAACCGCAGGATTCCAAGCTCTATGCCTTAACCACTAGGCTACTATTCAGTTGAGGCCAAAGATCTTATGGGTATACCTTCAATCAAGGCATGTACAAGTTTAAAGACCTTTCAAACTAATTGCTAAATGTGATGCTACTCTTGTAGGAACATCTCTTGCCTACAAAGTTGCCTTAATAAAAGGTTTCAGTTCTTCTTTTTTATACAGTGACTGAGAATCTATGAGCAATCTGAGTTGGTGTCTCCACCATCTTGGTAAACCCTTACAGGATATAACCCAATTAGAAAACTGACATAACTACACACATAAATAAGAGCTATAAAGGATCAAATAACCAGCTAGATGGCTAGCTTTAAATTTCTGTGCATGCTGAATATGCAGTAAAAACAGCTATGCAGTTTGCAGCTGTTTTTGTGGAGAACCTCAGCTGGTTTGGGGTCAGATTTGTTAAGCAGCTTTCCAAATCCACTTTTGCTGCAGCTTAGTGTCTTTATGTAAATCATGAAGCCCGACAGGATCTCATTCTGTGCTATGGCAGCCAAAAAGAACATGTAGAATGTCACATCCTGGTCCGATCGGTAGTTTTAAACAATTTGCTGATTCCAACATTGGCTTCTGCTCGAGTCAACCTTTTGCAGATTGGTAGCACCAATTTACCTACTGTATGTGCAACAATTTTTATTTTTAGTTTTTATGGCACTAGTGGCTCGGTTTTTTTTTGTTTGTTTGTTTTTTAGAGTAGGCTGACAGGAAAGGGGGTATAGTAGAGGGGTAGAGACATGCGGCAAAGGACCACAGGTCGGATTCAAACCCAGTCTGTCGGGTCGAAGACTGAAGCCCACCAAAGCACGTTGAATGTGTTCCCATTTAAACATATCTTCTTCCACTTAATTGGAGTGAAAAAAATAATTAAATTGAGCATCATTTTATTCCTTAGATTGTTGATGATTTATAGCAATAAATTAAAAAGGGAAAAAAAATCTAATTAATGAATAAAGTTTAAATATATTTTTTTTATTATCACCTCTGATCAAAACAAAAATGAGAAATCTCTACCTATAATACTTATTAGAAAGACAAATTCACATTTTCATAAAGAAATGCCAAACCAGTAATTGTCAAAGCAAGTACGATATGTAAAGAAAATAATTTTCTGGCATGATTCGTTTCTTACCCAAAATAATTGAGTTTGTCCAGTGAAACATAAACAAACTGGACAAACTGATGAAAGAATTAAAGTATTAATAGATGGATAAACAGATTGTTGGATGAACTCATTTTTTCTCATTAGATTGAGTCAATATGATGGAGAATGAAGCCTGTACACATGCATATTCTATATGATTTTACATATTTATCATACCAAGAAAAAAAGGTTTTCCAGACTGCATTAACACTATAAACTAATCGGTGAAAAGATTCAAAACAAATCAATATAAAATGTGTGAAATTCATAGAAGTTATTGTCACTTATTCCTCTACCTTGGAGCAGGGGAGCAGATAAAGAGCTCTTTGCAGCGTATAGGATATATATATATATATATATATATACATATATATAATTACATATAAACAAAGCTTCAAGAGCAGAACAAAATCAAAATGCTCTTTCAGAATCTTGCAACCAAAGAACATTCAATCGTTTAGCCAGGTTACACAACCAAGAGGTCCTAGGCACAAAATGCTCCGTTACCAGAAGACCATCGATTAGTCAAAGGTAGATGATTAATGGCTTCATGTTGCAAAGATTAAATTGATGTGCTGGGTGCTTTAAACACACCTGGGTATGGATACAAAGATGAGCTTAAAACATATCAGAAAGTACATGCTCTGTATAAACAACTAATAATGAAAGTGTTCCTGCAAACATTTGGGCCAAGACACAAAAGGTGGGTATTTAGATGGAAAGATGAATGTCTTGCATGGCTCCTGGCTTTTGGTATTTTTTTTAGTATCCAGATATTGTGGATGAGATATAAAAAAAACAAAAAAACAAAAAACACATTTAACAAATATTAAAAAAGTTAACAAAAGGTATCTGAAAAACACAAATAAGTGTGGCAGATGGTGAACAGGCCTGCCAGGGATTCTGGAGGAAGCATGCAGAGGAAGATTGCACGTACTAATTACTGAAAGACATATCCCAGTTGTATTTGGGTTAACTGTGTCACCAGTAATAGTGGGTTTCTGTAGATTTTGCAGAAAATGTACGCCAGAAACTCAAAAGTAATAAAATTTCTCATTTTCAAACTTCACATTTTTCTTTCTGCATTAAAAAAAATGTTTATTTTAGTGAGATAGCTGAGATTAGTGTATTCAATATAGCATCTCAACAATTTATGATCTGCCTGAATAACAACAACACAATTTAAAAATATGTGCTACATGTCAATCTATGTAGATAGATTTAAGGTGACCCTTATTCAACGTTTATACATCTCGTCTCTAACTCTTAGCTTTTGCTCACTATAATCTGTGTGAAATTACCAAAGCATCCCAAAGCATAATGAATGTTTCCCAGATGGCTTCGGAAGCAGCGTGGAAATGTCTACTGACCGACATCTGTTTTATTCAGATGTGGGTCAGTTAGTGTGGCTAACAACACGTATCGTTGCTTTTTCAGCATAAACATGTGAGGTCTCTTACCTTCTGTAGAAGTTTTGCTCCAGAGTATTTGCTGGACAAAGCATTTAGCTCTTTTCCGAAGGACACGGCCCACTGCTGCACACTGGACACAGAAAACATCATTCATTTCAAGTTAAACTCTGCCTGTCTTTTTTTTTTTTTTAAATATCAAATGACCATGGATGAAATGTGTAACACAGGGAAATTTAACACACTTACACCCGTTAAAATGGGTCATATTTTTATTTTATTTTGGGTGTTAGACCAACAGTAGTGAATCATTTGGGTGGACTGAAAATCATACATTGATATCAAGCTTTTTTTGTATTCTTACAAATAAAAATCCGAAAGATTTGGTATCCTTTTTTTGCCTCTCAACCCTTTACATGTCTAGAGACTGAATTTTCAACCTGTTCTTTATGTTAGCGCAGGGTGGGAAAAGATTTCCTATACAAATACATTTTTAAGTCCTGCCTTAAAATCTCAATTTGATCTGATCTTCACAAATTCTCACACCATGCAGCTCTGTTAACACTATTTGTTCTGCTGGTTGATGATCCTTTGCCCCAGTTACACATCTTTTGCTGCCTCTAAGAGTTTCTTCCAGCAATTCCTTCACTTCAGCCTCAACTTCCTTCCCATCTACTTTGACCAAATTTCCTGTCTCTGCTGAAGGAAACATCCCTATTTACAAAAGTAAAACAAAAGAAAACAAAAAAAGCCTTTGTATCTTAAATGGGGTGAACAAAGTGGTAGTTTCATTATGATTGGAGTTCCCCAATGAGAGATTTAGTCAGATAACACTGAAGGTGGGATTGGAAGCGGACAGGCTTTATGCCAGAACAAGGGGTTATTCTGTGCTCAGAAACATGCAGTAATTCTACAAATCCTCCATGTGAAAGCAACTGAGATAAGGTCATAGAATAGACAGGATGTGACAGATGGCTCAACCTATGGGGAGTCAGCCAGCTCACTGGGACATAGACAAACTGCCTCCTCAGTATTGACAACTCCGTGCCTTTAGATTTGTTGACATTCTTTACAGTTATTAGTTTATTTAATTTAAAATGCGAGCGAGTATAAGTTTAAGTTGCTTTTTGAAATGCTACAAATTGTGAGCCAGATTCTTGCTTGATTACTCTCTCTTACAGTGAATAAGAAAGAACAGTAATTGCATTATTATACTGGTTTATCCTTTAAATTACAGTTTTAAAATTTAAAAATGATACTCTGCTTTGTTTGGCATCCAAAACAAACCCTGTCTATGAGCATCTGCACAAGTTAAAAGCTAAACAAAAACTAATAGTAAGGTGAGCAAAACCAAAAAATAAAGGTTATTTTCTGAATACTTATGGACACAATAAATGAGAAACAAACTCAAATTGTTTACATTTTTCTCTCCATCTTTTAAAATGCATTACTATTTAAATATCAAACCATACTTTTAGAAGATCCTTTAGATCAACTGATATCTATTAACTTTAAAAAGTAACACATGAAGCTCTTACATTTTTTATGTTTTATTTGATTTCACTTGTGGTCACCTAATTAGCGTTTGTATGCATGATGTAGACTAATGATACTGAATTGCATTAAGTATAGCAGGGTGTTGATGCTGCTAATTGCTGTGAAAAAATGAGCTTAATTGAGATCAGACTCTGAATGAAAAGGCACTAATTTACAATATACAGTTCTGCAGCTCTGTCTGTTTGCAACATTGTAAAAAAAAAAAAAAAGGAAAATAAAGAAAAAATAAAAATAGATATTGGAAATCGGCAAGATGAAGCAGAGTAAATAAAGAAGGAAAGAGGCAAATATAAACAAAGTTAACTGAGAAGGGTATTTTCCATGGATAAAAAAGAATCATCTTTTTTTTTCTCTCAAGTTAGAATAGTCATTCTGCAATATCGACTAAAGAGCTGACCCTCCTGGCCTGAAATGTTGGAGCCATGGCTTTCTTAACCCTCAGTGAAAACAAAGGCCATCTTGTCAAATCTTCACCAGACTGCAAAATAAAAGCTGACCTGCAAAACTCTACTGTTTTAAATCTTCAGTCGTTCTGTCCTAATGGGAAAAAAAAAATGTCTCGCTATAACTTGAGTAAATACAAATTGCAGTTTTCTCATTATGATTTTATTTTCTGTGATTCAATGCAGTTTATGTACCAGTTTATAATTTATTATTGATCTGGGGGCAAGCACTATATTACAACACTAGTATAAATCTAGATAGTCAGAAAAAATTTTGACTTTTGGCATAAATCGTTGTTAAATTTGGCCATGTGTAGTTATTATCACAGGCTAATATTTTGTCTGAAAACGACAACCAGATTTTCATTTCAAATATTCTTCTCTATCAGCAGCAGCTGAAAGATTGTAGTATAATTTGGCTGTTCTTTGTATCCCACAGGTTAACAGATGGTCCATACAGTGTGCTTATGCCAAATGACAGACATGACAGTATTGAGTCATCCATTATGGCTATGGCTTTAACACCCGTGCCACCTGTGGGTTTATAATGATAAACATGGAACCTGCCTGATAAAACTGCTCATTTCTGTTGTGCAAACTACTATCCATGGATGAGGAAACAATGCGTTTCACTTTGAGGAGAAGGAATCCTATAGATGACATTGATTAATCTTGAACTGTAAACAAACTAACATTAATGAAAACTTTTTATAGTTCAGTCAACATTTTGTATTCAGCTGATTTGAGAGATGTTTAGAAAAAAATGGCTAATAGATCAAGGGTTTAATTATTGCAGCTGTACTCACGTTTCTGGTGGGATCTTCATCTGGCCCTCAACCATCAGGCACAGTGAGCTGGAGAGCGTAATCCACATCAGCATCATCATCATCCTCTCTCTGCGTGGCCCACTTCTGTCAGATTTAATGTCATTCCCAATGGTTTCCAAGCTACTGCGGCTCATCAATGCAGCTGTTGCAATCGGCATTGTTTAACCTAATGCTGCAGGCTGGACCAAGGAGAAATAAAATTTTAGAATTAATGAAAAGAAATAGAAATATGCAGTCATATGCTGGAGATACAAACTGGTTTGGAGTATAGGCATTGTGAATACACAATAGCAATGAATGAAATTGTAGGTTGTAGATGTCTTCCTGCTCTACTGAGTTAATTAAACATTTTATCTGAATCAGGACGAGGGTAAAGGAGCACTAAAAACAAAACATGTTTATATGGGTTATGGTCTTTGCTTAGGCTCACCAGGTATGGGCTTACAATGGGCTTCTGGGAGTAGTTAACATCATTTAAAGGTATATTGGAGGATTTTCGCAAACTTTTTAAAAGACCCTCCTTTTCCACTTAAAAACATATGCACATGCACATTTCTTCTTGTGCACGCTCTGTTTAAAAGTTGCTGTGTGCATTGCACATACAAGCTTACTTTGCAAAAGATTTTTCCACCATGTCGGACTCACCACCAGTAAGTGAAAATTGGGACAAGCACGTAGGACGGCGTTACAGTACGTAAACATATCACCAGAATGATTGACAATTAGGAGGACCGCTTATTTTGATGATCCACCCGGAAAATGTAATCACTTGGGAACAAAATACTGATATACTTTGTCTTTGTCCTTTGTTAAAAACCCAACAAATGGGCTCTACCTGGACTACACCCTGAGAACACATGAATGATAACCAGCCCAAAGGGTCAGTAATAAAAGAAATCACTGACTGAGTGCAATCCATAAAGGCAAATAGGTTGATTTCTGATTAGGAATGCAGAAACTTTCCAAAGCTTTCCAAACTAGGCTAGAACATCCGTGGATTCTCCCAAAATAACCTTTGGGGTGTTACTGGGGGGAAGGTTTAGTGGATGTCCTTCCTACCTATATCCCCTGTGACCTGATCTTTGATCAACAGAAAGTAATTATAATAATAATAACTGAACTTTATTGATCTCACATTGGAGAAATTTACCTCTCCATTTAACCCATCCCTTTAGGGAGCAGTGGGCTGCCATTGTGTGGCGCCCTAAGAGCAATCGGGGGTTAAGGGTCTTGCTCAGGAACCGAGAGTGCAGGCTGTGGGGATCTGACCAGATACTTTCAACCTTCTCAGAGCCCATGCGCACTGCTCTAACCCACTAGGCTAAAATTCCCTCTTTAATTGATAGATAAAAATTTTTAAAAGCCCCCATACTCTGGCAGCACCCCCAAAATGCCCCAAAGGACATAGCTGGTGCTCTTCCCCAGATCTGCCATGATCTATGGATCTTTAATAATACCAATATAGAAGATATTATTGTGAAAAGAGGCAGGACTTTGTATTAATAATACTAAAATATAATGTTGAATCAGTAGCGAAGGATGGTACTCACAGCGTCATGTTCACACAGCTTTAAAGAGGCATGGTGGTCAGAAGAGAAAGAAACGAAATGTGAAAAAGTCTGAATGTCTGGTTTGATGTCAGCTGAGCTGAGTATGCCCACATTTCAAAGAATCTGCAAACTTTTTATTCCGGGGGTCAGAGGTCACATCTGTGCACAAGGGGTCCTGATTAAGTCCCGTCATTCTTCTACACCTCACTTTCCAAGGTTTTTAATCTGATTGCTGACTGCTTCATTGTACAGTCCGCGTTTTTTCCTTAACCCAGAAAAATAAGAACTGAAATAAAAAAACAAAAACAATCTTTGGTTAACCCTGAAACAAAATCAGTCCAAGTCAGATTTCCTTTTTAGGAAAAAAAGAAGAGACAGTAATTTGATTCCCGGTAAAATAAATCCATCATTGTGAGAAGTTTTCCTTTCCACCCGCAGTCAGTCTCACATGGTCAGGGTTTAAAAGGAGAATTACTCAGAACAAAAGAATTAATACTGAGAGATGATAGACTGATGAATGCATTGTAAGGACATCCTCTCTCTCCAGAGTATATTTTCCTTCTCTCTTCCAGCTCCACTTTATACCATAATCCAACCAGGATTAAACCCCTCCTCCCTCCATCCCTCTCACAGTCCACACACACGGACACAATATCTATTTTATCCCCCAACAGTGTCTGACCCACAGTGTTTTGTTCCCTGCTCTTCTTTCTAGTTGCGTCTTCTGGCCTGTTTTTTTTTTTATCCTAATTTTTCTTCAACTTTTTCAGCATTCTTCTCAAAAACACCCTTTATTATGTTTACGCTTGATGCTTTTCTCTTTGCTTAGTTTTATAGATATTACCATCAGATAGAGAAGAAAAATGATTGAAAGAAATGTGAATATCTATGGTAGAAGATGAGAAAATGCTAATGCACCTGTATGGTTGGTTATTCTAATTATATTTTTGTATTTGCAGGCTGCTTTAAGTTGAACAAGGGACACTTTTGTGATTGAGGTGCAAACGCACAGAGACACCTAGTGGACTCTCGCTGCCAAACGTGAACAAACCACTTATTTTAGATTAAAGTACAAACAGTTTTATAAAGGTAAAAAATAGCCATCATGTAATATAGTTTTAAATGTGCTTACAATATTATACAATAGCTAATACATCCAATCACTACTAAATGCTTTTTTCTACTGTAGCATTCTTATTGTAGTTTCAAATGTTTATACATGTGAACTAATATGCATATTTTTATTTTGTTAATTATTTATACTATTGGTTGTTACACTTTGTACATATCTTTATTTTTATTTACAAGGAAGCTTATTTCATGATGGCGTTGGATCATTTTAATTCACATATTTAAATTTTGCCACTAAATGAAAATTAATTTAAAAAAACATCTTTTTAGATATTCAATGGATTTTTTTGCACTTCCTTGTTCAAAGATACCCAAAGTAATGGCTCCATGTCTTCACATTGCTTGCACCAAGTCAAGTTTATTCCTAGTATAAGTTAGACTTAGTCAGGGTTGCCATTTGCCTTGAGATCCTGGGTGTGGTATCCACAGAAAGGATTTTAAAGTGCTGTTGTGGAGAAAAAATAAGCATGAAGCTTTGGAAACAGTATCAGAAGTTTAGATGTTTGCTTATAAAATATATTACCAGGTCCAAGAAGATGTTTGTCCAAGACATTTTAATAATGTCCAAGACATTTTAATAATGTTAATTCCAGCCTGACAACTGCATTATCCAAGTGCTGCAAAAGAATCTTGTCACCGTTTGCTTTACTAATGCAGTTGTGCAGCTGCAGGAAAAACACTTTGAGAATGGAGAAAATTGGGTCTTGGGGGGCAAAGATTGGGGACTGTTTTTAAGACAATGGAATAAGACTAACATTTAGAAACTCAAACCCATTTCTAGATTTATTTTCTACTAACTAACACATTTCCAGATGGCTTAGGAATCATTAGTCCTACGAACCTCTCCATTTCCCCCTGCTACAGTAAATAAAGATGTTTACAGTGTTCAGATAAAACACAAACTAAAAGCTTTTAAATGCACGGCTCTTTGTGTCGTTTTCTCCATTCTCATTTTTTTTTATGACATTCGAGCACTAAAATTCAGAACTATAACATGAAATAATGTAATAACTGATAAATGCGTTTTGGTAAACATAACTCTACAATAACATGTTCCATGAATGTGTCATTTGTGGTGGTTATATTGCTGTTTTAGCTCTACCACCCTGCACACGACCTTTGAAAAAAAAACAAATAAAAAACACTTTTAAACATTTGTATATAATCTAATAAGATTACTTTAATATTGTGTATAATAATTGATAAGATCTATATTTATGAAATGCCAAAAAACTAGTTGCTTCTCATGAAGACCAAAGTGTTTCAGATTCCTGCAGAAACGTAGGAAACTACATTATTATTCTTTACAGGTATTTATATCTGTTCTGTACACGTTTATTTTACATTATTTTTTTTTAACCTTACTTGATCAATTTCAGTATGATTTTATTTTTTTTTCCATCCACTCTGCGTCCACTATTAACATAAAGCTTTAAAAACTGTAATAATTTACACATATATAGATGAAAAAAAGAGCATTACTTACCAATGTCACTGCAGAATTGAACTGTTGCTCCATCTTGCCTTCTTTGTAAGCAGCTCCACTGTTTAAGAACAATCTAAAGATAATTTAAATTCATTACAGTCCAAAAAGTAACACTCAACACTGAAACATGGTCACCCAATAGCTCTTGGCTGATATCAGCAGCAACTAGCCTTCAGTAGTAACAGTGAGCCCGCCTCTCTGGACTAAACAAACGCACACGTGCAACTAGACACACAAACCAAAAGCCATTGATCAGTCTAGGCTAGAGCTAATAGTCAGCCCTTATGTTTAGCCTCATCAGCTAAACCACCGATCGGAAACCTACTCTTCTCAGCGAGAGAAAAAAAAAGAAAAAAAGTCTGTGCATTTACTCTTGAAAAAAAAAAAACATTTGCCAGTTTAAGTTTCCATCTTTTTGGTGCTTTTAAATTGAAACTGGTCCAGTTTTAAATTTGCAACATTTGTGGTGGTACATTTAAAAGAATATGTCATTAGGATTCATCCTGGTGATGACAAACTCACTGGGGAAGGGAAGCAGGAAGGAAAAAAGGGGAGAGGCATACAAAACTTTCAATTGTTGGGGAGAAAAAAAGTGGCAGCATGGGAACAGTCCGCCTCTAATCATTTCACAACATATTGCATAATTTTTGAGGGGGTTTCCAGTTAAAATAATACCATTAAAAGCTTTAATGACAAACAACACATTGATCACAGTTTAGTTTTGCAGTACAAAGGAAAATGAAAACTTTAATTACATTTCAAATAAAATTTGTCATTAAAGTTAAAGTATAGCATTATTGTAACCACAACTACACATTGTATATTCATTATATTCCTTTTATGTCTAATTTAACCCTGGTAAGAGACAGCTATATCAAAGAGAGGTCTTCAAATCCATCAGTTTAATGTTAGACACCTTTTCTCCATCCCTTGTATCATGCCTAGCTTAAAAAAACCCCTCAAACACATGGAAAAAAAAAAGACATTGCATTTGTTGCGGTTAATTACCAAGCTCTTTCGGCTGGACGTGGAGCAGCTGCTGATTAATCACTGTGGACATTACGCTGCACCATCGATTGCTTTAAAACAAGGCAATGAAGTGGCAATAAAGCAATAATGAGAACACATTTTTAGGGATTAGTGTTAAATCTGGGTTTCATCCATCTTCAGGAGAAATGATCATAAAAGCAATGAAACTAACAGCCAAAAGAAAAACGCTGGGAGTTTGGATTGGAACATTTATTAAACAACTTTAAAAAAAAAAAAAAAAACACTATTATAACACTCTTTTGAACAAAATGCCTCAAATTATACAGATAAAAACAATCAATTAGACAATATTTGAATTAAAATATAAACAATTTTAGAAATTAAATGCATGTTGTTTATATTGGTGTTATGAAAGCTACATATTATTTTAAAATAGAAAAATAACTTTTTAATTAAACATCCTCTGTCGTTTCTTTGTTGGGACTGCCTCTGTACAAGTTACAGCAAAAGCTAAAAACACACCGACTCTGTAACATATTTCAAAACAAAACAAACTTGGTTTGGTGGCAAATAGTATTGATAAAAAAAAAAAAGTTTAATTAACTAAATAGATCAGCTCAACTAGACTTAAAAAGTAGGAAGTGAATAAAATGAACGTCAGTGCAAATTCTCCAGATGACATATTGATATTTTTGTTGCCTAATTTATGAAGCTTGCTGTGTGGCAACAACCTGAGTTAAAACATCGCCACTGCGAGAACATTTTATCAGCTAACCTTGCATATTATTATTTTCTTACCTGTTATAATGTGTTTTTGTGCACTACTTCTACCTTTTTCTAAACAATGCTGTTATCCTAAAAGGTTCCAGACAGTAAAAATAAAGTATATTATTAATATAAAAAAACGGCTGTCCCCTCATAAAATCAAATAAATCCTCCAAGTCCTATAAGCAGAGTCTGAGGTAGTGCAGGTTTTCTTAAGCTGCTTTGTTTCTTTAAGCTGGACTAGATGTTGAACTCAAAAATTTGATGCTTAGCTCAAAGAGAACTACTAATCCCTTGAAGAGCCATGAAAGTTTTTCCCAAAGGACCCCGATTGAAACACGTTAAAAAAGAAATATCTGACTGTAGCTCTGCTCAATCTGTTAAATTTGAACAATCTTCATTTAAAGGGCAAATATTTTACATAATAGTCTAAAACCTATAAGAACAAAAATCTAATCTTGAGTTATTCAAATATTAATCATCTTTCACATTATTTTTCAAAGAAGTTATCTGTCATTTTTACACCAATTAAAATCAGAGGGAAGGAGATAAGACATCTGAACGAACTAGGTACTGAAGTTTACCGGTTAAACATAAACAGAGGTTGTTACTTTAATTCCCTCGGTCATTAAAAATGTTTTTTTTTTTTCAAAATATTATGATAAGATAATTCCAATTTCACTATTTCTTATATTTATATAGCCAAAATATATTTGCTTCTGCTGCAACCAAATGAATGATTGAATGATTTAAGCTCAAATACCACGTAGTCGCCGTCAAACTAACTGGAGACATACTTAGAGAGCTTAGATAGTGATGGGGAAATATTTTTAGAGCTAGATTACTTTAATGCAGTTTTACTCCAAGACTAAATCACATTTACAAAGACTGCATGATACGCTCACATAGAGCAAGCCATCCGAAACAACATATTTTGCTTGTTGGAATGTGCCGACATGTCTGAGTGACATTGCTGGTCAGAACAGGAAGAGATTTTGGAAGGTTACCTGATTGCTGTCAGAACTTCTATTTTTTTTTCAACGTTAACTTATTGTGAGCAATGATTCTGTCCCAGTGAGTGTAATCAAAGGCACATTTTTACTATTATTTCTGGATTCCAAGCTTTGCAAAAATAACAGTTCAGAGCTACAAGCCTGAACACAATTAAATAAGGAAAATAATAATAAATGCCCTTTAAATGTCACATGCTTGATGAAATAATTCAATACTTCTTTATAATGTTAATTGACATATAAACTCTTATTGAATTTTACAAAGAAAAAAACAACAAAAGTAAAGTCAAACTTTGAACGCTGCAGACAGATAACCACATTTGATCACATCTTGAACAAGAAATCTAATAAAAACTAATAATAAAAATGAAAGAATATGTTTTGAGTCTAGTTGGCTGGCTATTGCTAAAAGTATTATATATATACATACCTGAATAAACTGTGCAAAATATCATCCAGTCTGAACATTTTTTTAACCATACAGTATGTTCCAGCTATTGTCAACTTAAACTTCAAGTTTATCCATCATGCTAATTATTAAATTGTACCAATTTTTTTAATCAGTCCAAATATTTAAAAGTTGTAAATGACTGCTAAAGGAAAAAAAAAATGTATACCGGTATATATATTTGCATTTGTATACCCGTAATTATGTTTTAAGAGCCTGTTCTAAGTGAACAGCCAGACTGTCCAGATTGAAATACAGCATGGTAATTTAGAAGAAGAGGTCCACTAAGTGTCAGGTTCTGCCTTCGAGCAGGGAGAGTGTGCAGACAGACAGCTGATGTGTAGAGTCATCAGTACTTGCTGCTGGAGCCGTTAGCAAAGCGGCTGACGTATGCTTCATAGATGGAGTCCAGGAATGAGCTGTCAGACTGAAACATAGCATGTAAGCAAGTTAGCACAGAAAGCTGCTGCATGCATGCTTATGAACACAGAGGGTATGTTCTGCTTTTATTCGTTTACAAAATGATAAACATGAAAGGTGTATTTAAGAGTTTCACCTGAATCAGATGCAGCAGTGCTGCTTGAAGCTGGCTTTTAGAGAGAGCTGTGACCTCCTCTGGCAGTGAGGGTTTGTGTAAGGTTGAGGTTGCAGAGCGGCTGTCTGGAGCAACAGCCGGCGGCCTGCTGCTGGGCTTTGCCTGAGAGAACACACTGGGAGAGAGGAGCAGAGTGGGGGCCACTGTGGCAGGTATCCGCTGGGGGGAGATGATCTGCACAGACAGGGACAGGGATTAAAGTGGAATTTAGTACCCACATCCAGATCTGTGCTCTAAAAGCCACAGATCACAATAAACACCTGAGGAAATAGGCAATCTCAGCAGGCAATGCATTAGATACACTCTGTGGGAAACATTTGGTAAAACACATGTGAAGCACCTCGCAAGGTTTTTAAACTTTTTTGGAATGTGTCACATTAGAAACGTTATGATGCACTATACTGAGATACCATGCAGTAAATCCTGGGAAAAAAAATAGTCATTCACTTTGGGTTTTTTTTACAATTAAAAATGTTAAAAGTGTTGTGTGGTTCATTTGTATTTCATCAATCCTTCACAGAATCACACTTTTGCTGCAATCTGCCCAGCAAGCCTTTTGATACATGCATCAATCAGGTTTGCAAATGAATTTTTAAGAAATTACTAGGGCTGCAACTAACGATTATTTTGCTAATCGATTAATTTTTTGTTTATTTTTCCGATTATTAATCTGAGAGCAAAATGTTTCTTAAAGTTAAAAATTAAATCAGGTGAAACTAAAACTTCTCGACTTGCGAAGTTCTGGACAGGAGAGTTTTATTGAAAGACATATTGAGAGGAGTTATTTTATTTTAAATGCCAAATATTTATTTATTTTTTCACAATTTTGGTATAATTACTCCTCTAAGTGGGTTGCTCTGTCAGGTAAAGGGATGTTTTAGAGTCTCTATACTCCAGTTAACAATTAATTGATTACTAAATTAGCTGACGATTATTTCAATAATCAATTAATCATGATTAATCCGAATAATTGTTTCAGCCCAAGAAATTACTCAGAATCTGTCAGCCTGGAGGAAATCTTTAAATATTCATGTTTAATTCTCGCCTCAGATTATTTTAATGGGACTTAATCCAAAACCTCAACTGTTTTGTACAGTATGACTCAACTCAATGTTTTATCTAAACTCTAGCTCTAAGATTAGGGTTCTTGTCACATTTCAGAGATTTTCCCCAAAGCAAAGGCTTTGTTTTACTTTGTCACCGTGTCTCTCCTCCTGTCTGACTCATGACATTGCTAACAAATAGCTGCATAGGAGTGACCAAAATATACCAGGGGTCTACCATGACTCTGTCTCAGTACTCTGTCTCAAGCTTTGCAAAATGCAGAAATCTCAGCTTTCTTGTCATTAGTCATTTGCATTAATGGTAGATCTCTGCAGCCCCTCTGAAGGTACTATCAGCCTACGGGATGCTGTTCACCAGTCAAGGTGAAAACCTAGGTGTAGTGATGGACTCAAACCTGAGCCTTCAGAGGCACAAAAAACAATAACAAAGTCGGCCTTCCATTACCTATAATTGAACTTTATTGATCTCACATTGGAGAAATTTACTTTTGCATTTAACCCATCCGTTTGGTGAGCAGTGGGCTGCCATCGTGCGGCGCCCTGGGAGCAGTGTTGGGTTAAGGGTCTCGCTCAGGGACCCATAGTGGCAGAATGTGGGAGTGGGGCTCGAACTCAGAACCTCAGGATTCCAAGCTCTATGCCCTTACCACTAGGCTGCCACGGCCCACCTATAGTGCATCTTCAGGATTTAGGATACTAATGACTCAGCAGGATCTTCAAAAACTAATTCATGTGTTCATCTTTAGCAGAACTGCTTTCCTGTAATGGTGTCTTCACAGGTCTGCCTAAAAACAGAAATCGATCAGACAGCTGCAGCCGTTCCAGAGAGCTGCTGCCCGTGTCCTCACTAAAACTACGATAGTGGAACACATCCCTCTGGTTTAAATTGTTACGCTGGCTAACTGTATCTCAGAGCGGAGACTTTTAAATACTTGTTTTAGTTAATAAATCACTGAAGTGATTACCACCTCCTGCATTGTTTTTTTAATTATCCTGCAATGTACCTTTACCTGTTGTGTTTTCATGTTATGTACATGACATTGAATCTTCTACCTACTGAAATATACTTATAAACGAGCTCTTCTTGCCTTTTCAGATTATCTTTCATTGCCAGTTGAAGAAGAAAGCCATGTTTTCTTAACCATGCAACTGGGCAATAAGTTATGCCTTTTTTATCTTATCTTTTTATTGTGACTTTTAAAAAAGTATGAATATTTCTGTAAAGCACTGTGTAAAGGTCTTAGAAAGGTTTATTTTTATCTGTTTCATCTTTTAAAAATCTGGATAGTTACATTATATTAGGCTGTTGATTGTGTACTCCTTGCTTTAATATTAACTGCCTTCCTACAAATGTCCAACAAATTTAGAGCTAAATTGGTCTTATTCTACTTTTGTGATTGAATGGCTATCTTTACATAGAATGATCTAATGACTTCACTCTTACCAAAACCTAAACATAGAAATATAAATAGATTTAGTTCTTAAAGTCCACTAATAGTTTGGAAAAGTTTAAAAATTGTGGTAGGTTGCTGTAATGAGTAAAAAGTTAGGGATGCTGGGAGTTACTAGTCCATTATGACACCATCTGTTGAAAACAGGAATTACAATCCCTCCACTCCTCTTAAAGGCGTTTTGTTTTTGGAAAAAGTATTGGTTCAATCAAAGATATGTATTGTTTAACCACTGCTGTCCTCTAGGTTTTGTTAGCTCCACAGGCAATTTCCTTTAACTTGACTTGAATTATGGAATTTACTTTGCCTTTGGCTGTTTTGAACCTTGCATTTAACATACTGTAATAAATATATAAGAGTAAAAATAAATGGTATTGCAACAATACTTATTTACCTAAAGTCGACCAATAATTTAACAATTTTGTTGTTGTTTTTTTTTACCTGAAATTGTGGCTCAATTTTTTGATCTTGGACACCTGAAATCTGGGTTGGGGCTGAGCCAAAGGTTGAGCCTGTACTTTGATTCTGACTGGATCCATGAAATCGAGGCGCTAGTCCTGGATGAGGATGAGTCCGATGATGTTCATGAGGAGTCAGGCTCTGTTCCTGCTGGACCAGCTGGAGTTTCTGGAGGAGCTCGTGAGGAGAAACCACACTTTGCATCTGGGATGACAGACCTAATGAAAAAAAAAGCATAAGGCATTGTTACTGGGTTCAAAGGATGGCAAATAAATGTTATGATTTAAGCTGTAAGAATTACAGACAGAAACATTCAGAAGTTAATTATCTGAAATTCAACAAAGCACTGGAAAAAGAAACGAAATACTGATAATCTCAAACATATTTTCTAAATCAGACTAAGATTTGGCAAAAAAAACAGTGTTTAGAATCTAATATGGACTTATCTCAACATTTAATTTGTGAAGGAAGGAAGGAAGGAAGGAAGGAAGGAAGGAAGGAAGGAAGGAAGGAAGGAAGGAAAATGTTTAGTTTCTTCTCAGATTTCATAGAAATGTTCAAACTGTGTGACGCAAAACTGAACTAACATCACAAAACAGATCTTTTAAGAAACTCCCTGACAAAACATTGCATTAAAAGAATCAGGCAGGAGTGACAAAGTCACAAATCAAGACTCTGCATCACACTTGTAAACATCAGAATTTGACTACATGGCAAAAGTTTTCACATCCCTTTTAAACAGAGCTCATCTCAATGTTTCTGCTGCATTTGCACCATATTCTTCTGATCACTGCTGCACTTTATAAATGGAAATGTTCATTTCACTGTTACTACTCATGTTGCTACTCATTCACTGTTGAAAAGCTGTATGCATCGAAACTTCGTATTTTTTATAATTCTGTATACAGTGTGTGTATACAGAATGACAACAAAGTTTGTCTAAGTGTAAGTTACTCTCTATGGGTAATTTTTAAAACAACTTTTTTTTTAAATAAAAGTTATGTGCTTCTTTAGCCTTTTAGAAAACCATACTGAAAATAGATGCTGCACCTGTTCCTGTAGCAGCAGGATCTGCCTGCCCTCTCTGCTGTATTTCTGTCTGTAACTTCACCAGGCTGAGGAGCAGCTGCTGACCTTGTTGTGCTTCCAGGTGGGACCGTGAGACAGAATCCACTTGGGCAGCCTGGGAGGCGAGATGAGGGATCTGGTGCAAAGCCTGAGAACCAGGGAAGGTGAAAGAAGTGGCAAGTGGAGGAGGTGGATGGCCCTGCAGGAATCTCTTTATTGGATCATGGTGGTGGTGCTGCTCCTGGTGGTGGTGATGGGTGAGGAGCTGCTGGTGATGGTGATGATGGTGGAGGTGGGGGTGGTGGTGTTGGAACAGCACTCCGTTATCACACAACCGGTTCTCGGGGGACTCAGACAGTGTTTGTAGTACGCCACCAGCTCCTGCTGCCCCCCTTGGTCCCTGCATGAGCTTTGCAATGGCCGGACAGTGTTGGATTTGGTTCGGCAGCTGATGTGGCGCGTTCCCACTGTCTTCCCCATCTATCAGCTTGACTCCTGTGTCTACACCACCTGTGGGGGCGGCATTCCTGCCAGAGTTGACTGAATCCTCGTAGGTCAGAGTGCGTGCAACGGGTGGGCGGGCAACAGGAGGAACTTCAGATTTAAGAGCGTGGTGATGTTGATGTTCAGAGCCTAACAGAGCTTCTGCACCTTCACTGACCTGGCATGGACAAAGTTTGATAAGCAGAGGGGACAAAAACAGCAATACTATGAGGGAATGTGTGTTTTTTTCTGTACCTGGGTGGTTGGTTTAACTGGAATTGGTTTAATGAGGTTAGGGTTTCCACAAAGAACACTGCTGCCTCCAATCTCCTTTGGCTCTGAGGCAGACTAGTAGTAAGAAAAAAAGAGTTGTAAAGAAATACATCTCATAGATAATTGTCATTTTCATACTAAAGTAATAAAATCATGCTGTCAGATTATAAGCCTTAAGGTTTCCTTAATTGGTTAATTGGTGTCTGCTAACCTTGTGGTATTCTGATCGTGCCTTAGTCAACATCTGAATGATGTCAACCGCTTTGGTCTCATTATTTCCCCCAACTAAACCAACACCTCCTCCGCCTCCTCCTCCTCCTCCTCCTCCTCCTGCTGCTGCTGCTGGTGATATGGATCCACCGTGAGACTGAGCCAGGATCTGCTCCTGCTGGGTCAAACTGGACAAATCACAGATTTCCAGCAGTTACTTAGGAAAATCAACAAAGGTAACCTGAACATGTTTTAGCGAAACAATAAAATACAATAGTGGGAAAATAAGTCCAATGTTAAACAAAGAATTTTTGTAAAATGGTGTCTTAAAAGTCTGTATATTTAGCTTTTATCTTTGTAAACATCACAACAAACAGTAAAAGAAAATATAAATAGTAAAAAGAAATAAACCTGTAGGTCTTCTCTGTATGAGTACTGATAGCAAGTTAATTAAATCACTTTATTTCATTTATTCTTACCTCCGCATCTTTTGCGCAATATGTTGACAGTCCTGCTTATCGTAGAACCAGATCCCATAAATAACCACTTGGGTAAAAAAAACAAGGTTAGATGAGTTTAGGAAACACAATTAAAAGTATAATAACACTTAAAGTATCATAACGATAAAATAAAATGTTTTGTTTTGCAATAATGATTCAGACAAAGAAAAAAAAAATCAATATTCATAAATGTGGCCCTACAGTTCTCAGATGAGCTCACCAATAAGGTCAGCAGACAATAAAACGAACAAGTTGACCTGACCTAAAATCTAATTAATGTGCAGACATGAAATAGCTCCAATTTGCTGCAATGACATTAGAACACACACAACCAAAGCACTAAAATAAGCTCTTTTTCCCAGCAAAGCCAATGGGAACAAAAGCCAGCAGCGCCATTATACAGTGAAACATGGGCCCCAGGAGTCTCTTGAACTGTATAAACATAGTGAGGATAAGAGGAAAACGACTCTAGCATGATTCTTTACAAGGTCACTTAAGAAGGTTTTATTACTCAAGTTGCTATATTTAACTACGATTGATTAAATTGTTTTTATGTGTGACGTTTGCACAGGAATCCATCATAACTGTTGTGTTATCATCAGCAAGAAGAGGTGCTAAAAATGTCATATTTCTACAACTTATGCATCTAGTTTGGATCTTTGTTAGAATAAAGATATAATGGGAACAAAAACAAGTACGATATTAGAGTCCAGATGCAACTTTTCCCATCTTTTGCTTTACTTTAAGTAAAGGTTATTTCAGTTTACAAAGACTCCTATTCAGTTTATTACCAGCATACAGTAAGGGAGGAAAACTGTAAAGTTTACATTTTTCCTCCCTAAAGATGTTATGTATGGTTAAATACAAACACTTCAAATCACCCTGAGTATACCAACCACATAAAATACAGAGTTAGCTTCATCATGCTGTGGGAATGCTTTTTTAGCAGGAGCAAGAAAGTTTGATACTTTCCATCACCAGGTCACCTTTTCAGACAGAATAAAAGCATAGCTGTCCTTCCTCGGTTAATAAGCAGAGACTCTGAGTAGTTCTACTCCTCTTTTCCCTACTCAAGAGTTTTTGGTTCCTGAATAGATGATATCAATCAGGCAACTCAACTCTGCATCAAATAACACAGTTTTTATTGCAAGATTAAGCCACCATGGCAAAGTTTTGGCCACGAATTGGGTACTTGAACAGCTACTTTTCTTAACATATAAGATATATATTTAGATTTATGATCAACTATTGTATTTTGATTCTAGATTCAGAGTTTATAATTACTTATTAGATCAAAAATGTTGATATAATATATAGATTTAGATATTCATTTAACAGCCATATTTAGATATGGGATGTAGAAATTGCTTAAAATGTTAAATGTAGCTGGAAATTACATAGATTTAACATTTATCCTAAGCATTTATCATTAAATGTGAGGAAAAAAGACTAATTTGAATAAAGTATGGTTAAAATAAAATTATGACAATAAAACTTTTTGTATGCATTGAATATCTGTCTAGCTGCAACATAAAAGGGAGCAATAAGCAGGGTGATTCCTAAAAAGTTTAAAGCTAGCAGGCCATCTTCACACTGCTAATGTTTCATAAAGTAGCCCTCATATATTAGTAACATGAAAATGGTTCAAATTAATGTAATTTAGGGCTTGCTAAAAATAATAAAATCTAATCTTGTTACAATAGGTAATTCTATTAAGATATTCCTTTGGAAGAAAAAAAAAGATCTAATTTTACACTGATCACAATCTACTGATGAAAATATCTTTAAAGTACTTGCACTCCGACCTCAATACACCTTTTATAACTGGTAAAAAACCAGGATTAGTAGAAACCCTGCTTTTAAACACGGTTGTTTAATGCTGTTTTAATTTTACGATAATGGCTTCCTATCTTTGTGAAACTGAAAACCCAAAGTATGCAGGAATTTACCCAATAACTTAATCTAGATTAACACAAATCCTGCTTTAGGAAATGGTCCCTGAGATCCAATCCTGGTACCTCAGAAGACTAGCAGGTCTAACTGCTGTAAAAATGTACTTCTACAAAGTAGGAACTCTGGATGGGCTGGGTTCTTTTACACCATACTCATTTTTATTTGTAGAGGATGTATAATAGTCGCATACTTCTGATTCATAATGTGCTCAGGGGCATTAACATGGTTTTTTAACAACTTTAAAAAAATAATCTCATTAAAAAACAATCTTGTTTTGCTCTTCAATATTTACGGTAAAAACCAGGCACATTGAGTGGATTAATTGGACTGTGTAAAGCAAAAATAATTGTTTTAACACTTAATCTGGATTATTCCAATTGGATATTTTAGCTTATTTGTTAAGGCTCTGAGCTTTGATGGACACTTTACTTCTTAAAAGAATTCTAATTTCGAATGAAATCATCTGCTAACAGATTTTTATTCTAAAATTCATATAAGTAAAGGAAAGAAAAACAACATACTTTCTCTATTAATCTGATTTTATACTTTTTTTTTTAAATTATGTCAATCGTTAAATTGTGGGAACGTGTCTGCAGGTTTAATTGATTTTTGGTTTATATAGAGGAAAAAATGACTAAAACTTCTTATGTAAAGACAAGGAAGGGCCTGGAGTATCTATGTGGTGGATATTATTACCACACAGACAACATGTATTCCCAAACCGGCACACGGAGCAGAGAGGTCACAGACAGAGAGGGGGGCCGGCAGAGACATACACAGTCAGTTAAGTAGAGCCTGGGAAAAATCAGCCCTGAACCAAATAAGTAACTGTAGTGGGAGACTTGACTGGTGGAGACAGAGCCACTTAGTGCTCACTGGGGTCGAGACGGATTGACAGAGATCCTGGGACACATGCAGAGTAGAGGTCAGACAGATGGAAAATTTAACAAAAAATGAGTAAGATGGTTAGAAACAAGTGATGTGTGTTAGAAGGAGATAATCTACTCCATCGAAATAGGAGCGTGTTGTTCTCCGGCTGTTAGGAATCATTGATCAGACCGATAAAGCTAATAATGTAGGAAACGCTTCCCTGAAGGTAAGAGAAGGACAGTCAGGCAGGAATCTCCAGCGTGTCTTAGAGCAGTCATAACCCAGCTACACACATAGATTACCAAAGAAGTGTGAAAGCTGCTTTTGATATCTTACCAATAATGCGTCGGCTATCCAGACCCCTGACTGTTTGAGCAGCAAAGACGGAACAGAAAGAGGGAGCCTGATAAAAGAAAGGCAGGAGGAGGACCACCAAAAAACTGAACGGAGGAGAAAAGAGGGGGAGCTCCGGTCGAGTCCCAGGACATTAGAGGCAAGAGGAGGAGGGATGTTAAGAGATGTGAGACCCAAGACAAGAATGATACCACTACAACTGGGAAGACAACTAAACCATGTGGGAGGAGAACCTCAACAGGACAACTTAAGCTCAGGACAGCTGATGAACCTTCAAACAACTGGTCTTTAACCTGGAGGCTGGAAAGTTCAGTCTTTAACAGAAGGGTGAATTCTACAGGATATCTGGATCTTCATCCCTCAGGAACTGGGACAAGCACATGTCATCATCCCTCTGGACACTTCTTAACAACCTTAATGAAACTGAAGCTTTATAAAGATTTATTTCTAATTTAGGATTTGTAAGTGAAGTTTAGAGCTCAGCTGAGCTTAATATAGCAGAAATATGGATAATCATTCCTAATCTTTAGAATAAAAACAAATTCTTCTTCCCATATGTACAGTCATATAGGTTTGTCAGTGCATTTTTGTAATAGAGGACTCATCACTATAGAGATTTAAAGCTCAGCTCTCACTGCAGAAACTCTCTTCAAGTAAAGAGTGCACCTAAAGAGACCACAAGGACTGTTAAACAAAATAGGTACATACTATTATTTCATTGACAACCTCTTTGGATTTTTCTTTTTTGCAAGAAAAAGGATCAATTACAAACAGGCTTCAGAAGAAACTGAACAAGATAGTTAAAGCCCAAAAGCTGAACTGCACCAGGATCATGTTAAGAGGCCTGTTTCAGAGAAAACTTAAACACGAACGGCTGGAGGAGGATCCTGAGGTCCGATTTAAGGGCTCGCTGGTGTCCGAGGGGGATTTGGGATACACGTATGTCCGACCTGGAGGTAAGACTGTCTGACTAGAGTCTATAACAAAAGCTGAATCTTGTTTTGTATTTTTTGCACATCAGTGTCATCGGATGAGTAAAATCTCTGAACACCAACTTTTAAGCCTGGGAACAGTTTATTTAGATGATGTCCAGACTTTGACTAGGCCACTAAAAGAATTTCTTTATAGCTCCAGCTGTATGTTTGAAGTGTCATCCTGCCAGGAGCTGAGCCTCCAGTCAAGTCTCGGTTTTTCTGACAGAATTTCTTGTAGGAATGTCCAGTATTTAGCACCATTCACCTACTCAGCCAAGGATAAGCATTTCTAAAGCATGACGAGGCATAACTAGCACTTCATTTGACCTCTGCACCTTCTTCCATGTACTTGCTACATGACTGCTAGAACATTGGAGTTTTTTTGGCTACCTTTATTCAAGTCATCCATTTATGCTGGGGACCAAATTTATTGATCAATAAAAACTTGACAGGTCTTTTTAACCAATTAACAATTAATTGATAAGCCAGATCTGGCCAGAGTCAGCACAGCATGGGAGGTGGGACGTTGCGGTTGCCAAATCTCGATGCCAGAATTCCCCATTTTTCTGCTAGCATAGCAACAAGCTGGTGACCACAACGAAGCAATGTTGCAATGTAGTAAAGCACAGTTTTTATAATGTGATTTTTTTAGGCAAAACCAGCGGACGTTGTTCAAGGTTACAAAAACAGAGCATGTTGCTTGGAGTTTTGCATCACATCTGTAGTTGTCTTCTTGGCTCTAACCTGATTAGGGTGACCCTGTTAGTCTTGCCTTTGAAATCAAGGTGTATCAGCTCTTTACCACACTAATACTCCATGTATACATTGTATCTGTCCGGCTGGCCAGGCTAGAACTTTATAGCTCATTCAAAGTTATGAAAATAAGGCCGTTTAAATGCTTCCCTCATTAATGCCATTCTAGATTAAATAAAAATGCTTTTATATATTCAATATGTTGATTAAAAACTTTAAAGACAATGCATCCTTTTCTTTTAACAGCCCTATCATGCACAACTTCCAAAGCCCCGGTTAAAACAAAATTTAAGAGGAGGCAACTTTTGCAAGGTGCAATAACTTCTGCAACATCTGACATCAAGGCAGTAACACCACTGAAGGGAAGGAGAGATTGTCACGTTGTATCAAGACTAAGGAAGAAGTCCTTGAAGTGGGGAATGTTAAAAGCCTCTTCCTCTTGAGGAGAGCGAACCAACATCTTGCTAGGGCTAAATCGCTCTTCCTTGAATCTTAGCTCATTCTGTGGTGTATCTCTGTTGCTTATTTTTAGTCTGCGGTGCCACTTTGTGCCAACCTCCATTCCAGGAAGTTACAGCCGCTCAGAGGGATACATGTTTGTCTAATGATAAGATTCCATGACCCCTGCACCAGAGGTCACCATGCACTGGGACGGGCAGCTTTGCCAGCAGCTAACAACTCGGATGTTGGCCAATAAAAATGGCTTTTCAGTAACCTAAGTTTTCCAAAATTTCTTTTCCTTTTTAATTAAAATGGATAAATGGATTTTGAAGCAATAGGGGCACCATTACTCTGCAAATGTACAAAACATTGTACTTTTATACATTTTATCTGGATTTTCAACAATCCTTTCAAATCTCAGCAGCTGTTGAGATAGAAATCTGTCTGACTACAACCATTATTTATATCGCCTTCTCTCACTTGGTGTTTTATGATCAAAGCAAATTAAGGCTACCATTAGGTTTGACCATTATGCTTGCAATACACACCATCCTTAACTTCAATTTTAGCAGAGGAAGCAATCATCAGCTTTGTTGTGACTACTTGTTTTAAGTGCTTTTCATTTCTTTTTCCTTCCCACGAAAAGTGAGTCAGCTTCAGATTTCAAATTTATCCTACATTACCTAACTCTTATATACTTCAAGTTGCACAGCAAACCATTTAAGGAAGCGCAATGGATCATTTAGTAAACTTTATGCCAAACACAATCTTTCTCTATCTGGCAATTCTTTATTACTATCGGTAAGCACAATTATATGCCGAGAAGCAAAATGATTAAAGCAGGCGTAGGAAATCCACTTCCATCTGCTTCCTAGCAAGCCTCAAGGAGAGCTAGAGAGGAGGGTTGGCGGAGTCTGTGAGTATGTGTGTGTGTGTCACCAACTTCTGCGTCACTGTGTTTAGATTATCAGAGGCGGCCGAGGTGTATCTAATCTCTGCCGGCTGTTTTTGTAGTGCTGTCAGACTCTTGTCCCACAGGCACACTTAGCAATGTGATTGTGTGAGTGAGAGCCATATGTAGGTCTCTGAGAGAGTTTGGGGCTGATAAAATGTACTAAAAAATCCTTTAGTTCCTTAAATGGAATTACTGGTTCACACTAAGATGATCTACCTACTCCTCTTTCTTCATGTTATCTCAGAATTGATAAAAAAAAGTTGCCCTGCTTTTCAAAGGGACATGATCACACCATCCAGCTTGTGAATTGTCTTGGCTTCAGAGAAGTCTTGTAGCTAACCCTAAAGATCCACATACAATGACAACAACATTTGATATTCCTGGTAAAGAAGTGTACAAATTGGAGTAAAAAAGCTTTTACTTTATTAAATCAAGTTAGTGGTGGAAAAAAACATGCCTGCTTTAAGAAACAATAAGATATGGGATCTGTTTTCACTGTTGCAAAACTGCAGTGTTACACAGATCCCATAATATTTAGCTACAAGGCTACATGAGACCAATTTTATGAAGAGGATAATAAGGGAAGATCAACAACTGTAAAGCTAAATTTTTATAAACTTTTCATAAAGGTTTCACTTTAAAATAACTGAGTTTAGATCTTAATTATTAGATTCTATATTAACCTTATCTGTTTCTGTCTGCTTTGGAATTATCCAAGAGAAAATATGTTTTTATCCAGCCATACCTTAGGAGTGGGCAGTTAAATAATATCAATACATCTATCACTATAGACATCTGATGAATATCAAAAGAAAAAAAAGGACAAGATTTTATTCTATTTTAATGAATTTCAACTCAGAACTGCATGGTATTCTGGGAAATGTAGGAAAAGGAACAGAGCTAGCCTCTAAGTCTCTCACAGCCAAGATACGCAAAGTTGGTTAAGTTAAAATTCAGAGTTTTTCCCCCTGGTACTTTTTTCAAATAGGTAAAAAAAATCAATAAAAATAAAACAGTAAAAAAATATTGATATTGATTGATATGAAAGGCTCATATTGTGATACATTTATCAGCCTTATTGCAAAGCTGTAAGCATAGCATGCAAACATGAAGCCTTTCCCTCACTCTTTTTGGACTATAACTGGAGCTTTGCATATGGCAAAGATGTATTTGGATGTATTTTGATCACAGTATTTAGTGAAGACATTTTGTAATGGTAAACAAATAAAACAGTCAGCACTTTTTTGTTAATTTGTGATCAATGTTGTTCTGACAATCCTTAACCATAGTGTCCCAACCATATCATGTACTGAAGTCGTGTATCCCTACGTGTATTAGCGGACATTTTGCTTACATCGTGCATTCCGGTAAAGGAGGAAAGGATCCTGCAGCTGGAAGTCCAAGTCTTTTGTGATGGGCTCTGTCAGATTCTCAACACTAAGACGGTTCATTATCGTGAAACCATGCCTGGGAGATGCCAATCTGAAATAAAAATTAGTGTTTAGCAAAGAGAATTTAAATATTTTTGAATACATACTATTATACTTTTACTGTGCTTTGTAATAGCGTTGCCTCTATTGATTATTTATCTATTTATTTATGAACTTAAGTCCTGTCATATTACAACCACAAACTTGCATGTGTCATTGTAGGATTTTAAACAGTAAAGTAGAAGGAAAACACTACATGGCTCTTACATTCCATACAAATCCAATTCTCTGTTGAAGCTGTCTGTGCATTTTTATTCAGACTCCTTTACTCGAAGAAAACTAAATTCTAGCACAAATAACTGGCTTCAAATGTTACATTGTTAATAAAAAAAGGCCTCTTTGTAATTTAATTTGTGGAGGACTCCGAGATTTTTGACTAAAATGAAAGGATTAACAGCTTTATGGTAGAAATTGTGTACTATATGTACAGTACTTATGCATTCTGGCCTTTCAATAAGTCTTGTGTTAAGTTTTTAACCTCTCAAACTGCTTTGCAAATAATAACTCAGAATGCATGAAAATTACACTGGTAAAATGTTTACCAATATAGACATGTTAGGCATCCTTGGAAAGCTTAGATTCTCCACAATTCAACCACCCAGTTCATTTTATGGACATAGTGAACGACAAAGCATAATTAACACAGAGATAGCAGCATTTCAAAATGTACCATGACAAAGCAGCCACAACAAGCAAGTATGTCTTTTTAACTGCTGTTAAAAAAAGATCTATAATTTTCAAGAATAAAAAAAGGTTTGGGTGTTTAACTCACCCAATTTTCATGTATATAAACTATAGAAGGTGTTGGCTTTCAAATAATGTATTACACATGTAATTTGCGCTTACAGTTCCTAATTTATTTGCTTTTCCATCTGGGTGTGCAAAATAGGCAAGAATTTCCCAAAATGAGGGGGAGATTAAGAGGTTAAAAGAGGGTATTTTAGACAGATAAACAAAAAAAAAAAGGCAAAACACAAGAAGGGGGATAGGATTAACACTGCACATCAACAGGTATAAACAATCCACACATAGAGATACTTCATTGCACAGCAATGTCATGCATGCAGGTCGGATCTGGAAAGGACAGGTATACAGATGGAGCGGGATAAAGGGACCATTTGTAGGTCAGGGGTCTTCAACATTTTCCAGGCCAAGGATCCCCAAACTGATGGTAATATGGAGCAGTGACCCCCTCATTTTATATAATATATCAATAAAATTGTGTAATATCAAAATGGTCCTATAGCCACTCTATTACAGATGAAGTAATGCAACGAAAGAAATTTCACCCTGGGATTATTTAAGTATTTCTGATTCTGATTCCTGATTGGTGGGACAGGTGTTATGAATTAAACGGTGCCCAGATTGAAAGAGCGCCTGTGTGTCGCTGAATGTGTGCATTAAGGACTGAAAGACATTTCTGCCTCCATTTATCAGTTTACTACAGTGTGTTGAATTCATGTTAATGTGTATTTAAAGACATTTCAATTAGTGGAAAAAATTGCACGGTGGAATATATATAAAAAAAAAAATAAAAATAAAAAAACTTTCTCGACACCCATGCAGTACCTCCGTGGACCCCCTAGGGGTCGCGGACCCCCTGTTGAAGACCCCCGCCGAAGTTCCTTAGATAATGAGTGGTACAGTAATTTTAGTCGGCCTAACCGAGGTTTCAAAGCACCGCAATGTAATTACTGTAAGAAACTACATGATTTTAAACATTTGGAATAATTATATTACCTTGTGTAAATAAACAAAGTGCCCTCCACTTCTGTCTTTTCCTGAAAAACGAAACATTTAGAGAGAACATAGCATGAATAAAATTCAGAATACACAATATTTAAAAAAAGTGTTTTAATCGGGGCTTTTAACTCTAAAGCCCAGTAATAGTGACTATGTAGGCCTGTGATGATGCGCGCGCCCACAATTTAGCTTAGCTAAACAGGCTAAGCTAAGTTAGCCTTCAACAAACTTCATACTAACCCACTCATTCGCCCTGTTATTATAGGTATACAGGGCGACCTGGCTGGCCACGTCCACAATGTTGTTTATGTAGGGGTCTTGTCTCTGCAGGGCAGACAGACTTATGTCCAGTCCTTTAGTAGAAAGACAGCTACTGCTAGCTGGAGAACTCATCCTGTTCTATGGAGAAGATAGCAAGCTAGCAAGCTTCAAACGTAAGATTCACAGAAAGAAAGATAAAAAAGAACAAACGACAAGTTGGAAATATTGGTATATCATTAGAGCCTCTTTAAATAATTAAAAGCAATTAAAAACTTTTCTTAGTTTTCAGGCTCTAACTGAATTCTGAGTTTTTGAGCAGCCATGTTTACCTGGATGGATTGTAAACATGTAAGGCATGACTAGTTGCACGACGAGTTGTAAATAATATGAACTCTGAAAAATCGATAGAAATAAATTTTTTGTTCTCAAAGCCAAAACAAAAAAATAAATGCATAACAAAAAATAAAAGAAAAAATACATTTGCATATAAACATATATTTGCAGACGAGCTTTCAAGAACATACACTGATTTTCATGCTCTCAAAACTACTGTAATGCATTTTATTTTGGTAATTTCGATTTTACATACTGCAACAGTTTTTTCTTCATTTAGTTATCACCTAACATTTTAAAAATTGTTCATTCAACTCTCAATGTAAAATCAATGTCTTTACATCGATGGTTTCTAATCTATAGTTACATTTTAAACCACTAGAGGGCGGTGAAGGGATACCTATAAATTGTATTTGCTGTGATCAGGCTGTCCTTCAGCTTTGACTCAGTTTATTAAAAGCAGACCAATGAGCAAAATCAGGTCTCAGATTTAAATTCATGAGGAAAAAAAGAACACAATGTTTCCTTCCACTTCAAAGTTATGCACTATAATTTTTTGATCCAAATCCAAATGAAACCAATTTGTGTTTTTGGCTGTAACATAAAAACAAACAAAAAAACAACAGCAAAAAGAAATGTTATATACATATTTTGTTTTTAATAAACTTGAACATTTTCTGAAAATAAAATGTCAATATTATTTGCAACTCTCTTTCAGAAAGAGTATTATATGTTAAGTCATACACACTTTTTTTATATCACACAGAGGGAAAAATTCATGCTTCTTTTATCTTTTAATCTTGATGATTCTCGATTTTAGTTTAAAAAAAAATCTATCTGGTACTAAAAGGTGCTTCAGTAAAAGGGATAACTGCAGCCTCAAGAATTTGAGGGAGCTTCACAGGGAGCAGACTGAGGCTGGATCTCTGCATGAAGCATCGCACAGAAGCATAATCTGGGCTATTAATGCTGCATTCCTTCAATCCATGACTGATCCATGAGCTGCCCCACAATTACAAATGTACTATCTATCTTTAAAGACTTGCATCACTATTTTACACATAGTTCACCATTCCACTCACACTTATGCACACACAATTAGTCCATATGGTTGAAAATCGCACAAGATCTGGTTACTTTAACATTACTGTGATCTGCCTACTTTGATTCTGAATTTAGCAAGTCCTCCATGTTTACACTGACAAATACCTGTTTGTCAATGACTAGGGTGTCATTGTAATTGATTGGCTACAGTAACAAACTTTGCTGACCTGAAACCCATAGGGGATCTATGATATCCTGTAAAGGACGATAAAAGACACCATTTCCAACAATGTAGATGACCAGAGGGCTTTCATTACACCTCAGTGGTGCCTCTGCCTAATCACCCCCATGCAAAGCGGTATTGATCGAGCAATTCACCCTAAAGGAGGTGCAACCAAATACCGAGTGCAGAGAAATTAACATTAGTTTTCAGAATCCTGAAATTTATGTAAAAAAAATGCAAACAAAAGAAAGAAAATGTTATATTAAATGTTGTATATTAGATTATATTCACATTTTTTGAGAGGTATTGCTTCTGCATGGTTTTAGTGTTGATTTGATTTTGTGCCAGTCTAGCCAGGACAGTGTTGCCAAAAAAAAAGAAAATAATAATAATTTATATATATATATATATATATATATATATATATATATATATATATATATATATATATATATAAATTGCTGCAGTATAGAATACCCAAATCTTGTTACTAAGTTTCCGACTGAATTGACTTTGTATACCTAACCCTACCTAAAATAGTAAAACAGAGCAACTGTAGAGTTTCAGAAATATGAAACATCCTTCCTGAACACAGTATTCAAGGACAGGAACAGTGACTGATACAGGCAAAATACTGTGAAATTTGACTCGGGACTTGTTAAATATATTTAAGGTCTTGTATCTGAGCAAAGAAATCCTCAACTACTCTTTGAATCACGGTTCAACTCTTAGGCTGGAGTTCTAAATTTTGTAAGCTTTCTCACAAATTTCTTTTTGACTAATCTTTTTATTACACTTGATAAAATAACCAGTTTGTCTATATATAAATGTTAAAACTTTGATAAATGGACATTTACTATAAAGTCAAAACTAAATTTACTCTCTTTAATCAGTCAACTGACAGATTTCTGCAGGTTTCAAACAAATTATTACATTTCTCAGGCAGCCAAAGCTTAAAAAAGCAATTGTTTTATGGGTTTGGGCTCCATGAATCAGTCAGCTGAATTATAAATTCATCCAAAGAAATCTGAAAAGCAATGACTTGCAAAATAATGCTGCACGCATAAATGAGCTACAGAAACAGAAAGAAGATAGCAATATAAATAGTGGTAATGTAGATGATAGAAAAAAACAGTCTTCTCAATATAAACCAGGGTCTTCTTAGTCATCCGTGTCATCCAACTTTAAATTAAACAATCTTTTTAGAAGATGTGTAAATAACTTTCTCACAGTCTTTCTTGGAGTAAGCATGTATGGTTAAAGATACATTTGTTAGCTTCTGTGTGTTGATAGGTGTGAGTTTGCAAATGTGTGGACTAATGAGTCATCTAACAGGGCATCAATACTGTCAATAATTACTCAGTCAAGACTGTTTTTTTATATTAGTAAAGAAAACAAATCACAGCTCCTAAATATTTTATGAACAAGATCAATTAACACTTCAGGAGGATGCACTCAGAATTATAAAAGTTGCATTGAGGGTAAAAAAAAATATAGTTTATTAAATTATTCAGTAAAAGTAAAGTTGATACAGAATGAACCCTAAATACTGGTAGTAAATAAAAACCCTTCCAGACACATTTGTTAACAGCTGACAGGAAAGCAAAGTCACAATTAATGGATGATGAATAGTTTTCCACATGGATTTACCATGAGCTGCAGCTGACATTTCATCCCAGCGCTGTGTGTCCCAAGTCCGTAACATCATCAATGACCCCTCACACCCCCAACATGGACTGTTCTCCCTGCTGCCCTCTGGAAAGAGGCTTCGCAGCATCCGAAGAAGAGCCAACACATTCAGGAACAGCTTCTTCCCCACTGCCATCAAACAACTGAACTGTTGAAAAAACTCCAAATCATGTCACAGACTCTGCTTCACACTGATAACACCAAACCAAAACATTGAAAAATTGCACCATATACGTATATTTCATGCTCTGAAGTTCCATATCAATGTTTTTTTTCCACAAGTTTTTTTCTCCTTCACTGTTTACATTTGATCACTGCTTCACTTTAAGGAATGGAAATGTCATGAAAGTTGTACAAAATGAAATTTCATTTTGTATACCTTCTGTGTATACAAAATGACAATAAAAGTTGTCTAAGTCTAGGTTTAAGATCTTCAAATACAAGATAAATAAAATTCCTCATCTAACCATGGATTTCACTTGCTTTCATGCTGCAGACCGTTAGGAAAGAAGTATCTAGATAATAATAAGAGGATTAAAAGGAACAAAAAAACTATTAAAGATGTTCTATTCAGCATGTTAGCATAGCAACTTATACTCTATGGCGTTATATATATATATATATATAGAGAGAGAGAAAGAGAGAGAATGACCTGCACTTGTATAGCAATTTTTCAAGTCTCATGAACTAGGAGACATATAGATATATATACATATATATATATATATATATATATATATATATATATATATATATATACATACATGTATATATAAATATACATACATATATATTAGTGTTGCACCGATAGCTATAGGATGGGGCGGGGCCCTGATCCAGCACTAAAATGGTGGTATCAGTATCGGCGAGTACCAACAAATAGGGCACGGATACCAACTCCGAAGCGGAACAATCATCAGTCACCTCCTTTACATGGATGACATCAAGCTGTATGCCAGGAGTGAGTGAGACATCGACTCACTGATCCACACTACCAGGATCTACAGCAACGACATAGGGATGTCATTCGGACTGGACAAGTGTGGTCGCATGGTCTCAAAGAGAGAGAAGCTGATCAGAACCGAGGGGGTTAAACTACCAGAAGGCCACATTACAGATGTTCAGGATAGCTACAAATACCTTGGGGTGCCATAGGCTAACGGAAACCATGAGGAGATGGCAAGAAAGACTGCCACAGCTAAATACCTACAAAGAGTAAGGCAGGTCCTGAAAAGTCAGCTGAATGGGAAAAACAAGATCCAAGCCATCAACACATATGCCCTACCAGTCATCAGATACCCCGCTGGTATAATAAACTGGCCAAAGGAGGAGATAGAGGCTACTGACATCAAGACGAGAAACCTCCTCACAATGCATGGAGGGTTCTCACAATGCATGGAGGGTT